AATATCATATTATTAAAATGTAGTCAAATATTTTAGGATATCTAAGAAACATATAGAAAATATCTCAAAGCTACAAATCTCATGAGAAAAGGATAATGAAGAGGTACTTAATCGCAACCGAAGTCAAAATCTAACACGTCGAGAACCAGCATAAACAGAAGAAAACAGATCGTCTTCACAATTTCCACATATATAAGTCCGCTTGTTACACTTCTGCTGAACTATAATACCTGATTGTAAGTATTGATACAGGTGTTTAAGTGACTACTGGAAGTGCCTGTGTACTCAAAAATACCTGACGAGAGCGTACTGTTGTGAAATAGTGAAAAAAGGTATTGTCCTCCTCACCTATTTTTAAGTCGTCATAGATCATGGCTGATGGCTGAAAAATATTACACGATATTTCCCTCAGTCGAGCTCTTGTGGATTTTATTTGCTAGTCTTTATGCTTAGGGTTGAAATCCGCTTTGATTACAAGATGATTTAGTATATTTGAAGAATTAATTAACAACGGCTGGTAATGCCTGTAACAAAGAAAGCTGAGCACGCACTTTTTTATGATTCAGACAACTGCACTGACCCAATATTTCTGCTATTTTTGCGTATGTTTCAGTCAGTTTGTAGTATTGATTATATTATGACTGTATGTAGAACTGATTAGTATTTAAACGGAACAAGTAATTAGTGTTGTGGAACGCAAGGGAACTCCAGAAATAGACCTGACACTGACAACTTTGATTTTCTGATGTTGATGCATCAGCAGGATAATTTGCAAAATTTGGATCATGCTCAAACATGGAAAAGAAAGAGCATGTGAAACAGAAGTATAGACTATAAAAGATAATTTTTGCAGAGTAAAGGCTAACTAGCATTTCCTTATGAAAGTCTGTGGACCATTGCCTTAGTGATGCTCTGGCCTTCACATTTAGGATTCTAGCAATGCTCAATAACACTTGCCATATATAAACTGGCATATCAGAAGACGTAGATTTTTGTGGTGATGTCTTGCCAGAATACATATGGTATCAGTCCATCTTTCTTCTAGAATCTAGAGAATGGAGTTTCAACCTTGAAAAAATCTTTATCCTATATTAATTTTATATGCAACAGTGATAAAATAAATAGGTTGGGAAAGAAATGCCCAGGAGAGAGTGAGGCTCAAGTCCTGCTCATGTGTGGCGAAACAAACTTGATGGCAGCGTCTTGCACAAGATGATACCACTCTCAATTATGTTTGGTTTGGTTTGGTTTACTTGGACTTATTAACAATTTGCACATTCACAATTTTGTACTGTATGCCTAACTGACATAAATCTGATATGGCTGCTGTACAAGTAACCTCAGCCTATATTGTTGAAAATATTTGGGTCTTTTTAATTTCTTTTTTTTTTTTGTACAAAACTTCAGAAGAAATAAATTTATTTTTACTAATAGTAGGCCAGGAGGACAATATATAGTTGGAGTTAATACGTAATAAAACTTATATGAGGTGATTTAAACTGAGACAAAGTTCTTCTATAGGACTATTTGTGCAGTATATGTAAACAAAGAGAGAAGATCACCCTATGCCTACGTGCTGCACGCCCAGAATGGTGTCTACTTATATAACACACTGCCTGTATTTTTGGCACTGTGATTCCTGTAAATTTGAATTAAATATGGAGAAGTTTATCTCAAGAGATTTCAAATATTTTGTTTGGAAAGTAGCAAAATAGAGTGCTAAGAAGTCTGAAATGACATTTGTTTGTGTTATTTTTGTGTATCGCATCATATACCTAGTTATTTTCAGATGAATTTTCCTTCACAATTTTTTTTTCTTTTTTTTCTTTTACAGGTAAACCAAATAGAGAATATTAAGGATCAAGCAAAGAGAAGTCAAAATTTCAAGAATCGTCTTGAATTAAACTGGATAAAACAAATAGAAGAAAACCCCAAAATGTCGTCAGCAGAACTGTTACAACCGGCTACAGACCATCAGCCAGTACCTAGCACCTTGCCACAAGGCCGTGTGGCAGCATGGGGAGGTGCTGGACTGGCCACAGACCCACCAGTGACCACCAGTCCATGGGTGTCTTCACAGACAACACAGACCAAGGAACAATCCTCTCCTTCCTCCTTCCGTGATCTCATGTCAGAGGATCTTGCTCAGAACATTCAAGATCAGTAAGTAGTTTTCTAGAAATTGAATAGAACCTATGAACGTTTATTTCCCCCACAATGTACAAGCATGCTAATTAAAGCATATATTGAATATTGAATAGGTGATCAAATGTTTTTTCTTTGTAAACAGAGAGAATGAGATGTACTACAAGGCACTGATTGGTGGCACAACTGATGTAAACAACATCTTCAGCCTCAGCAAAGTAGAGGATACATCAGAAGACTTAATCTTAGCACAAGTACTGCAGTATGAATTTGATCGCGAGTATGACCAACAGTTGAATCGTGAAGAGAGGCATTACAATGGCAATTCCAAAGGTAGGTTTTTGTTAAAAATGTT